TACCAAGAAGCATGACTGCTTGATCATATGGTTAGAGTACGTTGGGTTTTGTAAGAAACAATCAAACTGTCTCCCAAAGCGGCGGTACCATTTTGCATTCCCACCAGCCATGAATGAGATTTCCTGTTGCCCCACATCCTCACCAGCATTTGGGGTTGTCAGTGTTCTGGATTTTGGCCATTCTGGTAACCCTCACTATTATTTTAATCTGCATTTCCCTGATGATGTATAATGTGGGCCATTCATCTGCTTTTCAGGAGCTCAAAAATGTGAAGAAAAGCAGAATTTTTATTCAAAATTATTTGGCTGTATCTATCTTTGATTACTACTTTGATCCATTCAACAAATGTACACGGAGCCCCAACTCTCCGTGGAGACAATGACAAATCCAACAGCAATGCTGCTGGTTCATGGGCTTGCAAGAATTCCCTCAGAAGGGACCACTATCTGGCCACAGTAAATAGCCCATGGAGATAAGAAGCACTTGTCAGTGCTTGGTTTAGAGGAAGTTTTCAATGACTGAACCATAAAGACAGCAGAAACTACTGCTCCCAACTGTCTCCGAAAAACTCTTCAGAACAAATGGATTTTATACTATCTTCATATGTTACTAAGTTTTATATCAAATCAGAATTATAGAAAGTGACAGTCCTCAAATTCTGAATAGGACATGCCTAAAAAGCTTCTTTTGAAATGCAGAAAATATGGGGCGCCTGGGTGGCTCAGTCGTTTAGCATCTGCCTTCAGCTCAGGTCATGATCCCAGGGTCTGGGATGGAGCCCTGCATCTCCCTCCCCTACTCCCCCTGCTTGTGTTCCCTCTCTCGCTATCTCTCTCTCTCTCTGTCAAATAAATATTTTTTAAAAACTTCTAAAGGATAAAATAAAGACATTTTTGAAATGCAGAAAATACCGTTTTCCATGCAAAAAGGGCAAAGTTTGTAGGTCAAGCCACGAATGATGATTTAATCAAGCCCATTGCTGATGTGGGATAAAGGGTAGAGGAAAAGTCTGTCCCTTTACCTGGGCAAAGGACTGGCCCGAATATATTAATGGATCTTTCCACTCCTCTACCATCCCAAGGACCCCAGCTGTGCTGTCCACCTCATACAGCCCAAATTTCAGCCAAAGTCCCCTAAAGTCTGAAATAAAAGTGCCTACTAATCCCAGGCGAAGGTTCTACAACCTGAATGACTTTCCTTTGGCTTTTGGAGGAAAACAGCCATTACTTTCATTGACAAGCATTTTAATTGTCCCCAGTATTTTATATATTTTCAAATGGCTGCTGGTTATCCACATGGATCTTCATGCCCTTTTTTCAGTATTAACTAAGTGAAGTAAAAGTTTCCAGGAGTGTGAGGGAAGGTATTTGGAGGCAAGGGAAGGAAAAGAGATAAAAGCTATTGATTGTTCACTACCGAGACACTATCACAGCTGGTAGCACATTTAATCATCATTATCCATTAATTTAGGTGAGGAAATAAGTCTGGGGAGGTTAAATAACTTGCTTAGGTCCCACAGCTTTAAGGGACAAAGCAGAGATCTAAACCAGGAATGCTCAATATTTCCTCTAAGGGCACTCTCGGGCATCTGCAATACCGAGCCCCTCCCTTTTCCTCCACCCTGCTATGAACTGCTGTTTTCGAAAAACACAAAGTCTGTTTTTTCTATTTCTTTCCATAATGGCTCTCATGGCAGTAATAGCTGGGTATTTGGTGGTGACTGGAGGGAAGATAAAGGGGCAGGCAGGCGGTGACTGTGTGGGTAGGTTGTTTATACCTGTGGCTTATAGGCAAATAGTCTCATCACAGGTTTTGAAAGAAGTCATAATGACTGTAGGTGGGACAGGAAGATGAAAAGCATTTTTAAGTACTTTAAGTACAAAAAAATGGCAGAAAAATTCATAGGAGGCATTACTGATTTTTCCAGGCTGTAACTAAAAGATCCTAGGATTTACCTCTTTAGAATTCTACAGAAGAAAGATCCAATTTTCCCAGGGAGAAATTGAACCATTCTGACCTCTGGTCATGGCCATGATCCAAGCAGATTATATAAGCTATCTGGGAAACTGGAGAGCGTTCACATCTAACCTGGCAGTTAGGAAAGGACCATGTCTCATGGAATTATCCATGCTTACCTCCTCCCTGTGGCTCAAAACGTTTTGGGGACATAGTAATGTCAAGATAACCCCCTACTTCTGTCATATTCTGTCATGTCTTGTAGCGTTAAATGATTTACCTCTGTTTTGTTTATATCATACTTACATATTCAGATATTCCAAAAGAATATGCAGTGAAAATAAAGTCTCCTTCTTAACCCTCCACCCCAGCTACTCAGTGTCTTTTCTTAAAGACAATCACTGTTAGCAATTTTTTTCTTTTTTAAGATTTTTTTTTTTTAAGTAATTTCTACACCCAACGGGGGCGCTCAAACTCACAACCCCGAGATCAAGAGCCGTACTCTCCACCAACTGACCTAGCCAGGTGCCCATTTTTGCCAGTTTCTTACCAAGGGTTTTAATACACAAGAATTAATCAAAATAGTAGTAGAGCACCATTTCACACTACTCCAACCCAGACAAATATGCTTCCTGTTATGACATATATGAAGTCTTCTTTTATCTTTAGCAATACTGAAAGAATCTACAAAAAAACTGAAAGGGCTGTAAAAAGGGAACAAAGGGCCACTTGCAATAACCACGAAGATGGCTGCACATATTAGAAAGCACTAATTGATATTCTGAGGGCTTTTTTCCAACTTCTCTTCTGAAAATAGTGTGCTTTCCTTTTAAAATCAATAATTCAATTATCTAAATTATAGCATAGGAATGAGGATGTCTGTCTCGACCCAGCACCCAGAATATTTTAGAGGCTTTGATTCAACCTTTTTGGGAAGCCTGTGATGTATCCTAATAAGAAAATGCTATTGCGTGCCTGGATGGCTCAGTTGGTTAAGTGACTGCCTTCGGCTCAGGTCATGATCCTGGAGTCCCGGGATTGAGTCCCACATCGGGAGTCTGCTTCTCCCTCTGACCCTCCCCCTCTCATGCTCTCTCTATCTCATTCTCTCTCTCAAATAAATAAATAAAATCTTTTTAAAAAAGAAAAGAAAATGCTATTTAATGTTCTCAAGACAGGTTACTAACGTGGAGGGCAATACAGCACAAGCTAGATCCCCATAATCTGAGGGCATCTGTTTTTTTCTCCCTTTTAAGAACATGTGGGGATAATACTTTCTTCACCCAGATTCCCACAGGAGTCCTAGACTCAGAGACGACTCCACTGTATGGATGCCCTCACAAAATCGGCACTTCCACGCCCATGAAGACACTGCTACACTTCCCAGGTGTCATGTCCCCGCAAGCAGTTCCTAAGAGTTCCACAGACGCTCTGTCTTTGAAGATCCACGTGACTCTTGCAGCAGAACTAAAACAGGGAAGGAGGGAGGGTAGGTGAATGTGTGTGTGTAGAGGTGCAGAGGGAGGGCCGCTATCTCTTGAACGGCAATAAAGCAGAGATGGAGGAGGTGATAAAAGTAGATGCTGACAGCTTAGCATCTCCAATGCTTTGCTGGCTCTGGAATTCTAGGCCCCACATCGAATTCTTCGACTCCACTGGGCAATTCTGCACCAGCCAAGTAATCTCTTTGTGATTCTGCGTCAGCCCAGAAAATAGCTATGCTACTAACAGAGCGGTGACTCAGCAAAATGACTAAGAGTCCTCTTTTGTCACTTGTCAGCCCTCCTGCCTTCTGACTCTGAAGGCAGAAGATCTGAACCCCCACCAGGGAAAAACCAAGACCCAGAGTTTTCTGTTGACTTCTAACCATGAGCCATGTTACATTAGCTAAAGAACCAAGCAGATAGAAAGACGCACCTAAAGGAAAACCTCAAACCTCCACTCTAGCAGTTTTTGCGCACAGCCCTTCCACTGAGCAAAGGGTATTTATCTTCAAGCAGTTTCCCTTTGTCAACTTTATTTCAGACCTTATCTCCAATGTCTAGCTACACAGCAGGGACAAGAGATAGCTCTGCGTCCATTTTCCTTTGCTGAGATCAAACTGCAAGTGTAATTATTCATGAATCCTGATTCATGAATCATGAATAATCATGATTATTTGGTTAATGTCTATCTCCCCAGCTAAAGGGCAAGCTCTGTGAGGGTGAGGACCATGTCTGTCTCACTGAATGAGAGAACTGAATGAACCGTTTTTGAATGCATGGATTCATACATGATCCTAATTGCCCACGGATTCCACTAGAAGTTCATCCTTAGTTGGGAGACCTCATTGCTAGACAATGAGTCGGTCTTCCACTTCTGCACCCGTTGAGCCATGTTGGAGCATTTCTTTCTTTCTTTCCTTCCTTCTTTAGATTTTATTTATTTGTCAGAGAAAGAGAGAGAGCGGCAGGCAGAGGGAGAAGCAGACTTCCCAACGTGCAGGGAGCCCGATGCAGGACTCGATCCCAGGACTCTGGGATCATGACCTGAGCTGAAGGCAGACGCTTAACGATTGAGCCACCCAGGCGTCCCCATGTTGGAGCATTTCTGAGACAATCAGTCCTCCAAGAGGATCTGATGGGGGAGAAAACAAGTAGAAAAGGCAGGTCTTAGATTGTCCTACTTCAGAACACAGGGCAAGAACGGGGAGCCACACCCCCTAGTCAGCTTTTCCCTCTCCTGCGCTCACAGACCTGGCAGTTCAAAGATGGCTCCTGGGTTGCTGGGATTTCATCTTACCCTCAACTATTCTAAATTAATTAGAGCAAAGCCTAACTGGATAACCAGAGGCCAAGTCCTGTAGCTGTTCGCATTCATTTGTCTTTTTTCCGGACACTGGATGTAAACACAGAGTTGGCCGACTGCTAGCACTCTTGACCGCGCCAAGCTCGGAGACTTCCTCTGGATCCCCGCCGCCAGCAGCCCGATCGATCCGGGCGCGTGTCCGGGGGGGCTGGGGGCCTGGGGCCGGCCCGGCAGCCCGGGGCAGAGTTCAACCCACCTTCCAACTCTGCGAAGCCGAGCACCACATCTGACGCCTTGCCCTGCCTGTCTTTGACCTCCAGGGCCGTAATGGTGCAGCCCCAGGAGATGATGTCCACTTTCAGCAGGTCTGACTGCAGCTGGAACTTCTCCACTGTCCCTGCCCCTGAGGGCAAGTCTCCAAACACGGCTCTGGTCACCGAAGCCATGGGGAAAGCCGGGAGGGTGCAACTGCTCCCTGGAGCCCTAGGAACTCCAGCCTCCAAAGCTGGAGCGGGAGAAGTTTACTGGAGAAGAGGCGGGACCAGGCTCAGACTCCTCCCCTTCCTCGCCTAGCTTTAGAGAGTGACCGCTCCTGCAAAAAATATCTTCTGGCGACTTCCTAAATCTTTCCTTGGCCTGAGGGTGACAGGAAGGCAAAACTTCAGACAGGCTTTTCCTTTGCTAACTCTGGCTGCATTGCATGTTGGGGGTGGTAGTCTTTGGAAGGTGAAATTGCATTTTGGGGCCTGTAGTCTTTCTAAACCCAAGTCCTGAATCTGCAGGATTCTACCCCCTTCTCTGGCACGCGGTTCTCAAACAGGCAGTGAGCTAGCTGTTCATTAATGTTGGTGGCAGGCTTTCAGATGAAATTCTGGAAAATGCAGAGAGCAGAATTAGAGGCAGACGAATGGTGGGGGTGGGGCGGAATTCTGGTTTTAAATTAACTCTTTGATCCAGAGGAGAAAGAAGTGCAGAGGTAATTTAGAGAAGGGGCAGATAAGTGCAGGTGGCGCTGAACATTGACTGAAGATTCCTTCTGTTTGTCCCTCACAGTGAAGCTCTGGACATGTTTGTGCAGGAAGCTCTGCCCATGGGCTTTCCTGGCGGTGGGTCTGGAGTAGCAGCCTGGACAGGGTCAAGTGTAGATGAACTAGGGCTTAGTTACCTGGAGGTGATCAGAGACTGCCTCTGACTTTCTTTTTCTCAGGGGTCTGGGGGGTGGCCTTGAGGTTCTACCCTGTCTTGTTCCTGAAGTCCAAAATTCCTTTAAGAAGGGATTAAGGGAGTGGTGCCTGGGTGGCCCAGTGGGTTAAGGTCATGATTCAGGTAGTGGGATCAAGCCCCAGGCTCCCCACTCAACAGGGGAGTAGGCTTGCTTGAAGAGCAAAGAGCTCTTTGCCCCTCCTCCTATTCATGTGCTCATTTGCTCGCTCTCTCTCAAATAAATAAATAATTTTTTTTAAAAAGGGGCGATTAAGGGAATATTTATTAAGGTCCCCTTAAATGTCACATACTGTACTTTTATTATCTCTTTTCTACAAGCAGAAAAAGGCTTTAAGTATGTACTGATGGGAGAGGAAAAGACAAGCCGATCATTAAATAACTGTCATACTTTAGAGTACCTCTGAGTTATCTGAGACACTCTTTTTCAAGAATGTGTATTTCCAGGCTCATCCCTGGAATTTCTGATTCTGGGAGTAAAGGGCAAGACTCAGGAATCTGCCCCTTTCACAGGTGTCCTAGGTTATTCTAATGCAGATTACCTGGGACCAGACTTTGAGAAAGGCTGCTCAATAGTCTGATGACTAATCTCAGATTTCTTTTTCCCCCAAAATAGGCTGTGATGCCATAAGACTAAGATAGAGCTCCTAAAGGCCTTAACAGGATTGTCAAATAAAATATAGGAGCCTGTGTATTTCTTTGCTAAATGTGTCAACCCTAGACAGTACTGGGCCTAGGAAGGGGGAGGATGCTGGAAGCCGGAGGACATGTTTTATTTGACTGCCTTCATACTCCTCTTTGCTTGATACTGCTTTTGGTTTGGTTCCTAGGTACCACGGAGGGGATTCAACTAGACTGTGGTAAGCGCCAAAACGCATCTATGGTTGGGAAATGAGGAGAATTGGAATCGTGTTCCTGGAATCAGACGCTAATACAACAGAACTGTCTCTTGGCCCTTTCTGTCTGTAGCTTGAAGGAATATTTAGCATTCTTGCCACAAGCCTCAATTCTCGTTCATGAAGCAGTGGGATTGTGAGAGCAAAGGAAAAAGAGAACTTGCAACAGGCCTTAGTGAAGCGTAACACGTAATAACAAAAAGACCCAAACAAGTGAAATTACAGATTGCACCACACTCACACGATGACCGATAGCACTGTTACGTGCCGCTTCACCAAAAATTCTCATAAACTCTGCAGTCCTCATCAGCCCACTTAACATTTGTGGCTGATTCATATACAAGCCCTTTCGGCAATGCTGTGTTAGCACGGATGTCTCAGAATCTCTTCTGTGGGCAGGAAGACTGCATTTTCTTTTCTCAGCCTACAGTTCTCAATGTTCTGCCAAGCTCATGTTGTTGTCACAGAAAGAGATAAATGCATTTGAATGGCCAAAGCCAAGTGTCACTAGGGGAAGTATTGTAGCTAGGCTTGGTAGAAAATGAAACATACTGTGATGGCTCTCTAAGGTGTAAGGACTACATGTCTTCAGTTCATTTTCCTTCCACTTTTAAGGGCTTAACGTGGTGTTCTAAATAGGACTACCTTGTGTTAGGTCAGCTTTCAGGCACAAATCTTCACTTTTCTTACCAAAATATCCTATTTTCCTAGTTCCACAGTGATAGTTTAAAGGAATATTTGTGCATTTGGGGCACCTGGCCAGCTCAGTCGGTAGAGCATGTGGCTCTTGATCTTAGGGTCATGAGTTCAAGCCCCACGTTGGGCGTGGAGCCTACTTTAAAAAAAAAAATACATATATTCAGGGAGATCTAGCTTATTTTGCAAGGTTAAGTATTTGCTATAAATGATATTTCTGCATCCTTCTGCACTGTTTTTTTTCTTCCTTAACGTTATAATTATGAAATTTATGCCCGAGCACCTGTGGAGTCCCTAGTGCATTTATTTTCCTGTTATGTCATATTGCATTACATGGATATATACCAAAATTATTTTATCGATTTTTAAATTGACAGACTTTAGGTTGATTCCAAATTTTTATTCTTACACATAATACTGCTACAAATATTCTTATGCCCGTACGCAAAAGATCATCTAGGGTATATTCCAAGGCATGTAATATACCCAGCAAGAGCCCATGACATGTGCAATTTGACTTTATTAGATATTGACAAGTTGTCCTCCAAAGTGGTTTTATCAATTGCAAGTTCTACCAGCTGTGTATGAGAGATGCTTCACATCCTTTCCAGCATTGAAACATTCATTCAACAAATATTTTTTAGCGATCTACTAATCTGTTCTAGTTACTGGGATACAGCAGTGAAAGTTCTCACTCTTGTGGAGCTTCCATTTTCTTGGCAGAAGACATAATAATACATAAACAAACAAATGACAATATAGTAGGTCTGGAGGTGACGAGTGCCTCGTTTCCAGAGTGTGCAGGTGCCAAGGACAAGCTCTTCTCCTTGGACACTTCTTTACCTACAGTAAGTGAATGCAAAGCCCTCTTGAGCCCAATGTAACCTAATCCCAGAAACTAATTTTTTAAACTTGTAATTGCCATAAAAATTAGGAGATGAACATTTTACATTGGTGTAATGTACTAGAATTTGTAAAGTGGTTTGGCATCCAGGTCCTCAGTTGACCACAATACCAGGCAGCATATAAGGAAGTGGTTACATGCTCCTATCTCTGCAAAATAAGCTAGATCTCCCTGAATTTAAGCCATTAGTCCAAGGTCATTTAGCTTGGGGGCTTTGTAGTGCTAGGATTTTAATCCAGAGCACTTTCCATTACATCCTTCAGCCTCAGGTAAGCAATGATAGTCAGATATGTATTACACCCTCATAGTGCTCTGGAAACCCCATTGATGGATCTTTCCTTAGTCTGAGTGAATGGTGTCGCCAAGGGAGTGGTTTGGGGGGATGTCTTTTTTTCCTCATTTTTTGGTATGAATAATAGATGGTTAATCAATTTCATGTAAAGCTGCTTCAAAACAAGTCCCTCATCCATTCCCTTTTTTTTTTTTTTTTAAGATTTTATTTATTTATTTGACAGAGACACAGAGAGAGAGGGAACACAAGCAGGGGGAGGGGTAAGAGGGAGAGGCAGGCTTCCTGCTGAACAGGGAGCCCGATGCGGGGCTCGATCCCAGGACCCTGAGACCATGACCTGAGCTGAAGGCAGACGCTTAATGACTGAGCCACCCAGGCACCCTCATCTATTTCCTTTTACTTGATTGTGGTACCTACTTACAGAAATTCTAAAGCCACAACAGGCCTGAGCACATTCTTTGGTTTTATATAGACTGGATAAACACTTCTGGTTGTCCTTTGTGACAGCGATAGTTTCAAGAGTCAGAACTCTTTTAATTCCACAAGTCATAAACCAGCTCAAACTTGGCTTAGGCAAAAAAGGGAAATTATTAGATAACATAGTGAAAATGTTATCTAATGGATGAATCTCCCTGCAGGCGTGGCTGGATCTAGGCTAAAACTATGTCAATAGAACTCGTTTCCTCTCTCCTCTTGTTCTGTTCTCCACTGTGTTGGCCCTATTTTCAGGCTGTTTTTTTCTACCTATGATTCCTAGCATCTCCAGGCTTATATTATCCCTACAGTAGCAATCTCAGGACACAGCAAGCCTCACATTCCCAAATAGTATCAACAAAAGTCCCAGTGTTGAATCTCAGCAGGTCTTGTGCCCTTCTGCACCAATTACCTGGTGCTTGGTAGGGCTGGGTCAGCCTCAGCCAGCAATGTGGACTGGGGAGCGGGAAGGGGTGATTCTCCAAGGGAAAATCTAGATGCTAGTCCCAAAGTGAGAATGGATGCTGAGCAGGCGAAAACAACATTCGCCCACCAATAAGAGTCATGGGGTAATTTCGTTAGAGAATTGTTCAACAGGTGCACAGGGAATTCTGGCAGAGAGAGTTCATGCACTTAGAATATTTGACACATCAAAATACCTGTGCCTCACAAAGAGCCGTCAACATTCTGTCAGTGGCTGTGTAGCTGGGACTGCCACATCCTCACTTCTATTCTTCTTTTATCTTTGTCAGCTCCGGTCTCCTGACTAATGCGGTAGTGACGCAAACTTGCTTGAACCTTTCTCAACATCTTCAATTACCCTGCTGTTTTTCAAAGGACAAGAGCTGCCAACGTTCTAGAAAGAACGTTAGCTCAGATTCAGCCTCACCTGAAGCACATTCACCCCCGCCTTGTCTGAGATAAGGCAGATCTGGGTTCATCTGAATTCCCTTCCTCATAATAGGGAATCCTATATCAAAAAGCATGGCTGAATATTAAGTCTTGGCAGAAAGTAACATTCAAGCATTTAAAACAATTAAAGCTTATCTGACTCACATCAGTGTGGAGAATTTGCTCTTGTGATTTTGCCAGCCTGGTTAAGTAACCTTCGATTCAATGCCTGCAACAGCTGCTCACCAGTCATAGTGTGATCTTGATTTCTCTAGGACACTTGTTCAAG